TAGGAAATTCAAGAAACGGTAGTGGTCAATAAAATGCGTCCAATGACGTACGCAGTATGGAAAGAAGAAATGTCAACGATGGGAGCGGAGGAACGGGTGAAACAGAAGGAAGGCTGGAACACCATCCTTACCACGGTTACCGTACCTGCATTACGAAGGCGCTCTGTAAGAAAAGGTCATAGCTTGAATAGTTAATAGCAACCGCTTCGAAAAACCTAAGCATCTTTGAATCTCTAATTTTGACGATAGCCTCGAAAACTCGGAGCTTGTTAATGCAATGTCCGTTATTGAAAAAGTACCGTACCGCTGCACTTGATGGAACTTTAACTGCTCAAAGAGCAAAGTTCTTCGGAATGTATTCACTCATTGCGGTTGACAACTGGTATTCAGCGCTTTCAAAGTCCCGTGTATCGACTCTCTAAAACATCGACATATCCAACGATTCAGTTGTTACCTTTTTCAATATTATTATTCTCGTAACATTTTAATCTATTTTTAAGTGTAGACTAATAGCAGTTGTGTCCATATTGTGTTACTTGTTATACTCAAATGGCAATCGCCTTTATGGAATTGTTCTAAATTATCCTAACCGATTTCGTTCTAGTGTATGCAAAGCATCGGCACCTGGACTGTTTCGAGGCAGTGGTTACAGCTGTACCAAAAACAGAGCAGGTAGAACGGACTTCCGGACCAAAGCCTATTGTAAATACCTTACCGGCAAGTGCGGAAGATGCACGCTGTTCGTTATTGAACATGTCCACTGCTCGAACCGCAACAGGCGCATTATCCGCATTGGCTGAGAATACCGCGGCCACTTCCGCGTCCTCGAACGGCACTATTCGGGGCTCTGTGGTGCCGGTGCCGCGTTCGGCCACAAACATATCCAACAATCTCGCTGTTGTCATTTGGGTCAAGTCCTGGTTGAACTGGGCACACAACTTGTCCATTGTATCTCGAGCTGCGGACCAAACGGACGAATATCGTTGCATAAACTCACGCATCTGTTCCAAATGAGCCACCTCTACTTCCTGAAAATGTATTACAGAAAGAGATGATCAGGAACCATGATTTGCAGCATCCGAGCCGCTTTAGGTATAATAAAAAATGTTATTCAAAAAATGATTACCAACAAAGTACCACGAAGGAAAAACGGTATGATGAATGGAAAAAGAGAACTGTGAAAAAAATCTTCAGTCAGCCAGTATCAGATCACACATCGACAGAATCGTTGACAGAATTGTGGAGGAGAGAACACTACCTGAAATTGTGCACACGATGCAGCCATTTTGCTGACAAATTGATTGCGCAAATTATTGTACTTCTCCACGGAATATTTGTATTCATCCTGGGCTTTCTTTAGCTTCGCTTCCATTTTCTCCTGTTCCCGTGTCGAGCTGGATTCGCTCCGCATTGTTCTTTCGTATTCCGCATACCGGGAATGATACACTTCTTTTGCACGGTGTAGTTGGACAGCCGTAACCTAGTAATAAATTAGAATGGAATAAAATGAATGTGTGCAGCAACCGGATAAGGACAATGTGCGATTTGGAGGCTAATGATGAACGTGCAGAAGAAAAACGAACGGATGGTACAAACTAGAGCAATACGTTGAACCAAATACTGTTAAGGTAATCATGGGGAGCACAGGTGTTCGCGTATTCAAGCATTTTGTAAATATGTCCGATTTACCGTTTAGCAAAAGAGGAGACGAATCCAAGTTGTACCCCAAAGTAAATAAGGCCACAATAGGTAACTATTCTACTTTTAATTTTTCACTTTTACCTCCCATTATGGAATACGTCATTCTGGACAATAATTTGGTGACGTTAACACCGGGCCAACACCGCTCAACTATCTAAGCGGCATAAGTTCACATAAGAAACAAATCAAGAACAGAGCAAAAAGGCTGACCTGGAACGCATGCACGACTTCCTGAGTCGAAGCCTCAGCATCTCGAATGGACTTGTGGCGTTTCTGTTGTTCCTCAAGGTACTTTTGAACATCCTTTGAAAGACTTTGTCGACTCTGTGCGAAGACAAGATGCAATTGTCCTAGTTGCTCGACCAATTGGCGCAAAATGGACCAACATGGTTTAAAACTGCTGACGCTGTTGTTGCTGTACGACCCCGTCTGTTTGGCCAGCTTCAACAAAGACTTGTAGTAAGCGTCCTCAATTGAGGAACTATCTCGCACAAACTCGGCAAATTCACTGGTTGATCGGTAACTCAGTTTCAAATTTTGATACAGTACATCGAATCCTGTGTTCTTTTCTCCCCAGAAATTGCGAGCAAATAAGCAGGGTTCCATTGGATCAGATTGCAGATCTGCTCGTTACACTTCGGATTGACTCAATTTAAAAGCCCAAAGTTCCAGAAACGAGAACAGAGAAATGTGAATTTATTCCATTTTGCTCACAAATCCGAAATCTGAAGCCCAAAGAAGGAGCGATTGTTAGGATTTATGGAAAAAGATAAATAGACAGACGAACTTTGCCAGTGAGAAGAAGAATGCTTTCTTATCTTGTCAGAATTTTCTCATAAGAAATATAGAGCTTTTAGCTAACCTGTGGATAATTCATCAATAAACGGTGGCTAATAAAAATATCACAACACTTATTGAATGTAGTATCTGGGAAGTGTCATGTTTTTTTATCACCAATAAAAATCATTTTTATGCGATGATAAATGTCCTTATATATACATAAGTCCCAACAATTAAAGATACAAGGCTACTTGTCTCTGGTCGTTGATATCCCTAGTGAAGTCGGAGAGAGTAGTTTAACCTTGTCCTTTCCGACTAACTTCGCCATTGATCAAAACTTCATGACAGTTCCCAAGATACCATGATGGAATAACAACTCACTCGTACCAGGAGTACTAAGTGAAGATCAGGATAAGTTACATGCTTTCCTGACTGGTTTCAGTGCTGGTATCACTATGTTCGGCATGCGCTTTGCATCTTAAAAATGTAAAATATTCCCAATAGACTGGATTCGTTCAGCTCCCGGCCTCACTCTAATTGGAGAGGTAACAGAAATAGTGCATAAGTTTGGCTATTTGGGAAGCTATATCTCACCCGGTGGACGCATTACGTATGATATATATATATATATATATATATAACACCGGCTTGCGGATAAGTATGCGGATGAAGTGTGGGCACGCATGCAAAAGGCTTGAATCGTATTTGCCAACTTGAGATATCTGTGACGCCATCATGGCATTCGGCTGTCTGTGAAGGGTCCAGTTATTGATGCAGCATTTCGGCCGGTGCTGCTTTACGGTGCAGAAGCTTGGTCATTACGAAAACAGAATAAAGATAGACTGTTGGTATTCGAACATCGCTGTCTACGCAGCATTACACAAACTTGGTGAGGAATTTTAGTTCAGTTCTTACAACTATTAACCTTGCACTTGCGTGCGCCTGTTTTTGTGGCTGCCTTTTGGTTTTACATTTGGATAGAAGAGCAGGATGAAGATTGGAATGTTCAGAGCAAATTCAAGGGAAAAATAGCGAACTTGTATAGACTGATGTTACAAGAATAAGGAGTAGATGCATCACCGCCACTGTTTGCGACACTCAGCCATATCACTGTGTCTCTAACCATTAATTACGCTCATCCCCAGGTCTCCAACCAGGGAGCCTAACAGGACCTATGTGACCCAGGCTCTTGGTTAGGGTTTTCATACCCTCATGCCAGGTCTTAGCTTAACCACCCTTGGCTTTATTTCACCCACTGCCTGCCTCGATGAACATCGCTCGCCAAGGTAACCTATTTGGTGACATGCGTAACACATAACCCAGCCAACGTAATCTATGGACGTCAACCACTTTCTCCAATGGGCGACCGCATTTACCTAAAACTCTGCGCCTAACCTCAGCATTGCTCGTTCAGCTGCCCCACCAGATTCTGCGTAGACAGCTGTGTTTCAACACAGTTTATCTTTATCCTGTTTCTTTAACAGCCAAGTATCTGTGCCGTATAGCAGAACTAACCGGACTNATAGCAGGACTGGCTAAACTGTGGCGTCATACACTCGACCCTTCACAGACAGCCGGATGTCGCGACGGCGCCACAGATGTCTCAAGTTGGCAAATGCTAACCGAGACTTCTGTATGCGAGCTGACACTTCAGTCGTGATGCCTCCACCGGGTGAGATATAGCTGCCCAAATAACAAAACTTATCCACCTGCTCTATTACTTCTCCAGTAAGAGTGATGCTGGGTGCTGGACCAACCCAGTCTTGTAGCAACTTTTTACACTTTGAAGGTGCAAAGCCCATACCGAATATGGCTACACTGGCACTCAAGCTATCCAGAAAAGCTTACTTACCTGAAGCTTCACTTAGTAGCACAATATCGTCTGTATACTCTAGACCAGACAGCCTGCTACCTGGGAGTAAATCGATGCCACTATCCTCGAACGAGGATAGGGCTGTTTCCATAAGCAGATCTATAACAAGGTTAAATAGGAAAGGAGAGAGAGGGTAACCCTGACGAACACCACGTTCTGTAGTGAACTCCGGAGAAAAAGTGCCGTAAGCTCGGAGTCGGCTTCGGATATTATTTTAGAGGTATTGTAAGTTTGAAATAAACTTCTTAGGCACACCCTTTAAAGCGAGGCAGCTCCAGAGTTTAGAGTGATCGACTAAATCGAAAGTCGCTTTCAGATCGGATAACATAGAAATCATGGGTCTACGAAAGGAATGTCCGTGGTCTAGAATTTGACGAGGAGTGAAGATGTGGTCGATACAACCTCGACCAGGTCTAAAACCAGCCCGGTTCTCACGTTGGGATTCTTCACGTGCGGTAGACAATCGACGGAGTATGATGCCGGCGAGAAGTTTAGAGGCGATGTTGATTAAACTCATTCCTTTGTGGTTTTCGCAAGAGGACCTATTGCGTTTCTTATAAATCGGAGTGATCACCGATTCACACCATTTCGTTGGGATCTGTTCCCCCTCCCACACTGAGTCCAGCAGGTTCGTTAACTCCAAAACTAAGGCTGAACCTCCATCCTTAAAAACCGATGGAGACAGCCCGTCGGGGCCGGAAGCCTTGTACCTTTTGAGATAGCTTATTTCTCGGGTAACCTCCATTTCATATGGAGGACTGATGTCAACTGGCAGTGTTTGCACAGTTGAACCGGGTATAGGGCGGTCTTGTGCTGACGATGGCTAATTGAACTGAGACTTAAAATGTTCTGCCCATCGATCTAAACGGCACTGCTGAATATGAATTAGTGTGCCGTCGGACCCCTTAACTACCTCACTTAGACCTACTTTACTTGGACCTGTACTCTCAATTATTCGGAAAAGGTTGCTACTTTTACCGATAGCCAAAGCGTTCTCCATAGCGGCAGCCTTCTCTTCGTGGAAAACCTGGATGAGCAATGCTGAGGTTACGAGCAGATCTTTAGGTACTGGAAAATACCCGTGGATTGCATCGAGAAGTCAATTTGGCAAACAAGCTC